AAGCAACATCATGATAAACGGAGAAAGATTGAAGTTGTCAAGGATTTCATTTTACTTGGATCCACAATCAACACCCATGGAAGCAGCAGTCAAGAAATTAAGATGACGCATGTAGAAATATTTGAAATGGTGTATCTTTGGCTATGTATATTTTCACTAAAAAAAAAAAGGGAGAGGAGTGACATGTTGTGGGGTTGTTAACCAGTGTCATAAAACAATATGTGTACTACTGTTTCATGAGAAACTATTTGTTCTGTAAGCCTTCACCTGAAGTACAATAAAAAAAGAAGTCAAAAGACGCATCACATTGAGCAAATCTGCTACAAAAGACCTCTTTTAAAGTGTTAAAAAGCAAAGATGTCACCTTGAAGACTAAGGCCTGCCTGACCCAAGCCATGGTATTTTCAGTCACATCATATGCATGTGAAAGCTGGACAATGAATAAGGAAGACCGAAGAAGAATTGACACCTTTGAATAGTGGTGTTGGCAGAGAATATCGACTATACCATGGACTGCCAAAAGAATGAACAAATCTGTCTTGGAAGAAGTACGACCAGAGTGTTCCTTGGAAGCAAGGATGGCGAGACTACATCTTACATACTTTGGACAGGTTTTCAGGAGGGATCAGTCCCTGGAGAAAGACATCATGTTTGGTAAAGTACAGGGTCAGCGAAAAAGAAAGACCCTCAAGATGGATTGACACAGTGGCTGCAACAATGGGCTCAAGCATAATGACTGTGAGCATGGTGCAGGACTGGGCAGTGTTTCCTTCTGTGGTGCACAGGGTCGCTATGAGTCGGAACTGAGTCGACGGCATCTAATGACAACATTTTCCAGACAAGCAAGAATAATATTTGGGTAAGTCTTCTAATTTTAAGAGTAGCTAGCCTAACCCAACCACACAGAATTCTCTCTTCAAGTAGCTTGCAATGTAATGATTCCAAAGTAACAAAGGTATTTTCTTGAAGAGCAAAAATGGCCTGAATAGAATGGGAACCTAGGTAAGTGGACAGATGACATCTAGATTGAATCTGTTATGGGTGGTATATTAACAAAGAAACTAGAAGATGAAATGGAATATACCAATTCCCATTATAAAAACCAACCCTCTGCTGTCGAGTTGATTCCGACTCAACAACAACCCTATATACAGAGTAGAACTGCCCTACAGGGTTCCCAAGGAGCAGCTGGTGGATTCGAACTGCTGACCTTTTGGTTAGCAACCTAACGCTTAACCACTGCACCACCAGGGCTCCAGGGATTTGGTTTTTTGGTTTTCTTTTTTACATGCAGTAATGAGAATCGGTTCCCATTATTGCATGTAAAAGGAAAAACTAAAAAACCAAACCCACTGTCGTCGAGTCCATTCCGACTCATAGCAACCCTACAGGGCAGGGTAGAACCGCCCCATAGTGTTTCCAAGGCTGAAGTCTTTATGGAAGCAGACCACCACATCTTTTCTTCCTTGGAGCCGCTGGTGGGTTCAAACCGCTGACCTTTCAGTTAACAGCCAAGTGCTTTAACCACTGTACCACCAGGGCTCCTTATGTAAAAAGAAAGGCTACCTTAACTACAGATCTTACAAGCACTTCAAGACACTATTTTAAAGTGTTTTTTCTTATAATGTCTTTGTCTGATTTTTGTACTAATACTGGCCAAATAAAATGGAAGTGTTTCCTCCTATTTTCTAGAAGAGATTATGTAGAAGTGATATTATTTCTCCCTTACATGTTTGGTAGAATTCACCAGTGAAACCATTCATTGGGGCTTGTGGTTTTCTCTTCTGGTAGGTTTTTAACTATGAATTCAATTTCTTTGATTAATATAGATCTATTTAGGTTATTTCTTCAGTGAGCTTTGTATCTGTCTTAGTCATCTAGTGCGGCTGTAACAGAAATACCACAAACAGAAGCTTATTTCCTCATAGTAAAGTAGGCTAGAAGTCCAAATTCAGGGCATCAGCTCCAGGGGAAGGCTTGCTTTCTCCGTTGGCCTTCTCATCAGTGTTCCTCCAGACTAGGAGCTTCTCGGTGCAGGGACCCCAGGTCCAAAGGATGCAGTCTGCTCCTGGCACTGCTTTCTTGGTGGTATGAGGAGGTCCCCAGGTCTCTCTGCTCACTTCTCTTTTATATCTCAAAAGATTGCCTCAGGACACAATCCAACTTGTAGATTGAATCCTGCCTTACTAACACAACTGCCACGCATCCTCCCTTATTAACATCCTAGAGGCAGGATTTACAACATATAGGAAAATCACACAATACCAGGAATCACGGCCCAGCCAAATTGATAACACTTACTTTTGGGGGGACATAATTCAATCCATGACAGTGTCTTATAAGGAATTTGTCTGTTTCATCTAAATTGTTAAAAATAGGGACCTAGAGTTGGGGACATTGGTGGTTCAGTGGTAGAATTCTTGCCTTCCATGCAGGATACTAAGGTTCACTTCCGGGCCAATCCATGCACAGCCACCACCCATCTATCATCAGTGGATGCTTGTGTGCTGCTATGAATCTGAACAGGTTTCAGCAGAGCTTCCAGACTAAGACTGGGAAGAAAGGCTTGGCGATTTACTTCCAAAAATTAGTCAATGAAAACCCTATGGATCACAATGGTCTGATCCACAACCAATCATGAGGATGGCACAGGACCAGGCAGTATTTTGTTCTGTTTTGTATGGGGTCGCCACGAGTTTGGGGCCAACTCGATGGCAACTACCAACAACAGAGCTGGCCTTAGTATTTTCTAATTATCCTTTTAATGTCAACAAGGTCTTGTGATACCTGCTCTTTCATTGCTGATAGTGTTAATTTGTATTTTCTTTCATTTTTCTTAGTCTGGCTAGAGGCTTGCCTATTTTATTGATCTTAAAGTGTTTTTTATGCACTCAAGATAGTTAGGCTAGAAACTTTAATTTCTTATCCAACACTGGGTAAGAATTAGTTTTTCATTAAGAATCAACTTAGATTCTCATTTTTTTCATCACTTTTATGTGATTAGGATTTTATTCTGTGTAACACTTGAACACTAGTTATTGAATCTAACTTCATGAAACATTAAGTTGATTTAGATGGAATATAAACCAACCAAAAACGAAACCCATTGCCATCGAGTTCTAACTCAAAGCGACCCTGTAAGACAAAGTAGAACTGCCCGTAGGGTTTCCAAGGCTGTAATCTTTACAGGAGCAGACTGCCATATCTTTCTCCCGCAGAGCACTGGTGGGTTTGAACCACTGACCTTTTGGTTAGGAGCTGAGCACTTAAATACTAAAGATATTTAATTTCAAAGAATCTAAGATTTAAGTCCTGATCTTCTCTGGCCAGAGCTATAAATTCATACAGGTCTGCCCTGCTGCTGGAGCCCAGATGCTTATGTATTTGCTGGTCTAATTCAAGAGAAACCTCTAAGTGTTTCTCTTAGTTAGAGTCCTTGGACCTACAATCAGAACTACCTGGTGTTTTGTTTAAAATGGTGATTCCTGGGCCATACTACAGGACCTACTAAATCAAAATTTGGGGTGTAGCCCTGAATCTGCATTTTTAATAAATTCCCCAGGTGTCTGGTACAGTGAAATTATAGACCCCCTGTTCTAATCTGAGAAAGTAAAAGAAAGAAAAAGCTGGTTTTTAAACTTCAAGATCCCAATTAGTTTTTTTTTTTGGGGGGGGAGAACAGTAATAACAAGACCTTGATCATCAACATTATTACTTTAATTTTATATTACTTTTTCAGTTTTCCCTCACAAAACTTGTGAAATCATTACACGTCAGCCTCACTTTGCCAAATTCGAGATTAACAAGCAAAAGAAATTCTAATTGGAATTAGAATTGTCTCATCTATCACTGTAGGTAGAGTTCCACCATTATTACCTACTGTCACTTCTCTCCACTAATAGGGCATCTAATTTACAATAAAATATTTTAAGTCTCCTGCTATGTTTCAGTTGCATCAAATTAAAGTTAAGCGTAAGACTGGCATGCCAAGCCAAATAATAAAAGATTACATGAGCAAGCAATGTTAGAGATAGATGCTTTTTGTAATCCATCAAATAATTACTGACTTTAAAAAAATCAGTATTTATGGAAACAATCAAATGTCACTTAGAAAATCCTTAGGGCCAAGCCATTGGTTTATTTAAATACAGGTATATCCTGACCTATATGAGAGTTTCCATGGTAAGGTCACCACTGGTGAAATTGTGCTAATTAAGTTGAACAGTTATATGATTGACCTAACCAGTACCATCAAGGATTTCTAAATGTATTTTATTTTATAATGAACTTAGCACAACTGACCATGCTAATGTTATCAATACCAAATTGCAGGCAAAACTAGTTAAGAACTATGCAGAAAACCTGAGCATCCGACCTTTACTTGTTGTACATTCACGTCACGTATTTTTTTCTTTTCAAAACAGCATCCCTTGCACCAAATGCTGCCTCTACCAGCTCTTAAGATTCTGTCACTCATGAGAACAAGCAGCATTAAAGATGGTACTCGCACCTATGATATTCATTACTGATAGCACTATCAAAGCTAAACCTAGCTAACAACTTTCTTCTCTCCTGACATGCTGCTCATGTCAGTGGCAAGTGTATTTTTTCTAGACCAGCATGGGAAACACTTCCTCTTACTCGTCTCCCCTCCCAAAAAAGTTTGCTTAAGGGAATTCAGAGCTAGAAAACTCACTGATAAACAGCCCTACTGTTCAATAAATATACTCTGCTGTTACGTCTAATATACAAATATGATAACAAAGGTTTGAAAATGGAACCTTGTCCAGTGCTATACTGGCACTTCAGTTAACAAGCCTTCCAAAGGAGTCATGTTATGTTCAAGTCTGTGATAAACCTACTGTCTAAACAGATTTATTCTTTAGGAATATACACAAGAGTTTTTCCTCTGCTATTCTCAAACATCAGATATGGTGGTGTTTTTGGCCACTATCTATAGTGAAGATTTCAGAGCCATAAATCATTTGCGCTCGGGGCTAGGGTTCCTAGTCAAATCAAGAATGTTCTTCAGTGCTGCTGCTGAATGATCTGCTCCGGACGTGATTTCTCAGTTGCTCTATAAGCTCAGGATTCTGTTGCTGTATCTGCTGAGCAAACTGCTGTCCCCTGTAATAAAGACACAAGGTGGTATGTGAGATTACAATAGTGGTTCTACAATTTCACACAACACTCATGCAAAAAGAACTTCAAACGAGGATGAGGAGACTATCCAAAGGTAACTTTTTCTAAGAAAAACAAGTTTTAGAATCACAGCTTTAGTATCTGCAGGTTTACCAATGCCTCCATGTAGTTATTACAGTACAGAAGTCTTTAATTCTTTAAAACACCCAAGCTAAAAAGTGAATGCCTGCACTGGGTGAAATCCACACCTCTAGTGCTTAACCACAAAGAAACAACAACAGTAACAAAAAAAACAAACCCGCTGCCATCAAGTCGATTCTGACGCAGAGCAACCCTACAGGACACAGGGTAGAACTGCCCCATAGGGTTTCCAAGGAGCAGCTGATGGATTCGAATTACCGACCTTTTGGTTAGCAGCCGTAGCTCTTAACCACTACCCCACCAGGGAGGCTTTTATTGTATATGCTCAAATATAATGCAAGATATTGTCCCTTATATTCAAGTCTTACAAGTCCCTCATATCACAGAATGTAACACACAGTTTGAGATACTTACAGAGGTCACCTAACAGTACTGATTTTTAAAAAGGCAAAGAAGGTTAACAAATTCCTGAGTGTGTGACCCTCAATTGCCAAGTGTTGAACATCTTTATAATCATGCCACTTAAAGAAGACTAAGAAATAATTTGGTACATTAAATGCAAATGTCATTTGCTTAACAAGGACATGTTAAGTTTTACATAGCATTATGACAGCTACAGCTACCACAATTAAATGTGGTTAATGGAAGTCGAGCATTCCTAAGTAGAATGTATACAGAGATTTACATAATGCCCTCGTTTCTGTAGTTAGATTGGGACTAGTTAGATTGGAGATAGAAAACCAAAAGGGAAGAACATGCTCGACATTTCTCAAGCTGAAAGAACTGAAGAAAAAATTCTAAGTGTTTACATGGTCTCAGTATCACAAATAGAAATAAGTAACTTGTGGCTTCATATAAAATTTGCAGTGACGGCATCACACACAAGTGCACAAAGTAATGCATCTTAAGCTACTTGAATAGAAGTGAAGGTTAATGTGCTCAAGCAGTGAGGGGATGCAAGAACTCTCTAGTGATGACAAAAAATTTAAACAGTTTCCTAACATACGAATCTAGAAAAAAAGTTTGAAAATTTATATAATGTGATGTTTAAATATATATGTGTTCCTAAATTAAGATATTTTACTTTAAGGTATATCCCTGAGTAGTTACATATTCAAGACTGCCAAAAAACTTCTTCTTAGCTCTTCACTGGGAAAAATGGGGGAATAAACTGCTTTATATATGAGATCACATTGTATTCGGACATATGATTTACTGTTTCTCTCCCTGCCCTCAAAAGTACCAGATCACCAATCCTTGAGAAGCTCTATAAATGAAGATAATAGCACTGACATACCCATTTAAGAAACTGAGGACCTTAATATACTGAGGAGTCCCTGGTTAGTGCAAACAGTTAACGTGCTCAGCTACTAACCAAAAGGTTGGTAGTTTGAGTCCACACAGAGGCACCTCAGAAGAAAAGCCTGATGATCTACTTCCAAAAAATCAGCCACTGAAAACCCTATGGAGCACCGTTCTACTCTGACACATGAATCCAGGGGTGGATTAACTAGTAAGCAAGGTACGCATGGGCTTACCTGTATTTACTTACTAATCTGTAGTGCACAATTTCACATGGGTTTCATCACATCTTTGATGTGTGAAAAACAGATGAAATTGTACACTACAGATTAGTAAGTAAGCCCTGCATACCCTGCTTATTGGGTAATCTGGCCCTGCATGAGTCAGAACTGACTAGACAGCAACTGGTAATATCATACTGACAGCATAATCAAGTAAGGAAAAATTAGGCTGAAGTCAAAAGACTAAATCTGGAGCTAGCTCCGCCAAGGATTCTCTGAAACAGTAAGTCACTAACCTGTACTTCAGCTTCTTAGCCACTGAATAGGAATGTAAATTACCTTCTCCCCTTCCACTAATATTCTTCTCACCTGCCTTACTGAGATGTTGGGGTGGGGAGGAATAACTCCACTGGTACTTGAAGACCCCTTTAAAAAGCCCATTAAACAGATACAACTGAGCTGGCCAGAGGACCCAGGTCTGGCTTTCTGCCCTTGAGTCTGAAAAGTGATTCCAATTTATAAACTTCTTCTAGATTTAATAACTAATGAGGCCACTGATACTAAAAGATTAAATAAAAAATTAAAAAAGAAAGCCCTGGTCCCCTCACCTTAGAGGCAAACTTTAAAACACAAACTACAATTCGCTATTTCTCTTGTAAACACTTACGCTTGGATGAGGCTGGACAGGTCAGTTAGGCCCCCAACTCCCGCAGCAGGTCCCCCAATGGCATTTGTCATCATTCCTGACATTCTACAGTACACACAAGATACATCACTGGGATTGGCATACATTCTTAAACAAGTAGGATAACTGGCCAATTAAAAGACAAATATACCCTCATTATACACAGGTTAGGCCAAGTGTGGCTCTAAGTTCCAACTGACTAGCATTTAGGGTAGTTTTATCATTTTTGAGCCAATATGCTCAAATGCAGAGCCTGGTGGGTGGGAGGGAAAAATGTAATAAGCTCTTTCAATATACTTACAGCTGTTGAACTTGAGGATTCTGCATTAAACTTGCTGCCTGGAATTTAAAAATGGCATCTCCCATTAAAAGAATTTAACGTTTAGGGATCTTTGACAAAGATATATATATACTTTAAAAAGCAGTGGCTAAACAATATAACATAGAGTTTTAGTGTGCTATAGAAAGTAAATGGAAAAAAGGAGAGGTACTAGAATTAAAAGTCATTAAAAAATACATTGCAAGGATAAAGAGATTACAAACAACACTATAAACTAAGGATATTGATGGTAGTTTACTACTACTGATCAGATCAATTGAGCTAAAATGCCAAGTAGAAACTTTAAAAGTATCTCCTGCACTTGGGATGTGTGCTCCAAAGGAGATGTGACCATGCTCCATGGGGCTGAATAGTTTCAATCGTTCTCATGTTTACAGTGTGGGCGGGGGTGGGGGTAAATCAGTTTTATACACACACTTTAAAAACTCTCCATTTGGGACGCATAACAATTTTTTGCCTCAAGTTGGTATTGTCACAAAATTCGTGTAAAATTTAGTCTAAATCTTTGTAGATTCATTGACCCTATAAGTCAGGTGCTGGAAAAAACACCACTTATTGTCAGAAGATAACTGTTTGACTGACTTGCAAATCATTCAGTAACTGTCCTAAGTCTCAATCTGGATTGGTGCCTCTGAGCCACCACATGAGTATTACAGGCATTACACAGAAAGAGCATGATTTATGAGCTATAAACAAAGATTTTTATTTTTTTTGACAATCCCTTTAAGCTGGTTCTATGAAACTAGTTCTTCCCCTTTCTCCTACAATCTAAGCCATAGAAGAAATTTAAAGCGCTTCCTATGGCTTTTCTGGTCATTTTTAAGTAAGGAGTCCTCCAGCCACTTCAGTTGTAAGATGATCTCCAGTTCAGTAATTAATATGTCTTGCTCAGTGTAATAACTACATAAAACTTCATTTATAGGTAAAACTTCTCCCTCCTTAGCATGGGCCTACTACAGATTGGCCATTTGCCGTAGAAAAGAAGGGCATGGTTGGCTGCTCTTTTTCCCCATAATGCTTCTACTCCTTTTCCCTCAGCTCACTGACCAAGATTTCTGGCCCTCCAGGGTCAGGGTTAAGTGGAGGAAAGAGAGGTGAGGGGAACAGGAAAGTTATTTGATGACTACTATCATACTGGTTTTGCATTGCTGCTCTTTAGGTTTGACAGTTGTTTAAAATTACTCTGAATCTCTCATGGGCACTTTCTGAGGTTCTTCAGATACCTCCACCCACCCAAGATTTCTCACCTATTCTCTGAAAAATAATATACTCACTGGCTGGATACTTATGACTTTCCCTTTGGTCCCAGGTTCTTAGTAGTCTTCCTCCAGAGACTGTGTTGGGACCCTATCACATTCCAAGAGGCTCCCTTGGGCAAAGTCCCATTGGACAGATCGAGACTGGAACTATTTCACAAGCATGTCTGTTCATCTCTGGTCCGTAGGAAACAAACCTCGACTCCACTCGTCATCAGGACAGTTACTTCCCAAGACATACATACCACTAATTCAGCTGCAGACCTCTTTAACCAGCAAGTCAGATACCAGGCCACTGTCTTCCAAACTGAGGGCCATATAGGAAGCTTTCTGAGTGGGCTAGAAAGTCTCTTCTCAGTGGGCTTAAGATGAGTCCTGTTCCCTTGCTCATGGAACAGAACTCTGGAACTCTAATAGCTGTCTTCAAAAATCCTCTTTAATCTCTATCACCCTGACTCTTCTCTAAGAGTCACAAAACATGTTTTTAACTCCCACCTTTGCAACTCCTCCATGGTGGTCTCACACCACATTGCATCTCAGGGCCTATGGTAAATCTGAAACTAAAAGAATTCCATTTCCACATCCTATTACAACAGCATAACCTGAGGCCTGGCAATGAGTAACAATGCTCAAAAGACTTCTCTGTCTCACTGGGAATGAGTCATCTGTGTATTTCGATTCAACTAAAGATTTAGTGGATGTTACAGACATTTTTTGAAGGAAACAAAGATGAATAAGAAGTGGTTCCTGCCTTCCAAGGGCATAGTGTGTAGTTGAGTTGTTCTCAGTCAGAAGTATGGAGTCATCTAAGTTGCTTTATGTGCCCAGGTAACATCTCAGACCCACCAAATCAGAGTGTCCACATATTGGACCAGAGCGTGTGTGTTTTCAAAAAGGTACCAAAGTGATTTTGTCAGTTTGAAGGATGTAGGACACATACATGAGAATTATATCAAAAGTTCAAATAAATTCTTAAAATAGAAAGGAAGGCAGACAATGCTAGCAGAGAACTTAGGGAACCACTACAGCCAAAATCCTCAGACCTCAATTATTAGGTATCTTCCTAGGACCACGTCCATAAAGGAGAGTGGTTTTTATCCTTTTGTGAATTGCAGACTCCTTTGCCAATCTGATGAAAACTATGGTTCTCCCTCTATGAAAAATGCACATATCCACATGTACACAAATTTGTACATACAATTTCAGGGAATCCGCTGGCTTCCTGAAGTTCGTCCATGGCTTTCCCACAAAGAGGTCCATGGACAGGTTAAGAACCTCTGCGGCAGCCTTATGCCACCACTCACCACCACCAACCACAAAAGCTTCCTTATTTGTTTCTAAAAAGTATTAAAACTATATAGCTCTATGGAAAACAGGCAACAGAACAGAAATGGAAATATACTCACCATACTAATGAAGGCTGGATTATTTATCAAGCTGGCCATGTCAAAGCTCAATCCAGTTCCTGTCTATAAAAGAATTCTATCTGAGACTCATTCCAATCACTACAATTTAATTACAATAAATTGTGAACGACAGAACTTACAGGACTGGATACCTCTCTTAACTTCTGTTCTGCTATTTTCAGATTTGACTTATAGGAATCATTTTCAGGGTCAAGATCCAATGCCTTCTGATAACTTGTAACTGCTTCTTCAAATTTATTCATGGCAGTGAGGGCCAGCCTGAAGAGAATAAAGAGTATAAGAGTATAACATACATGATTAGAGAGCATCAGAACATCACAAATGTAGCCAACGACTGCCTTGGTGTTCAGTTTTAATTCAGATTACATTTAACTTATTCATTATACTATGGTTCACAGGAAAAAAACTGGAACACTAAAATGACCTCTAAGATTCTATGAGTCTGAACTCTCTTCAGCCTGTTCCCTGACAACCTTGGCTGTCCTAGAAGGATCCTAAACTCTATGCTTAGAGATGACCCTTGTCTATCCTTCCATTTTGATGCCTAAAATGTAAACCAGTTTGCTTATGAAGGCCTACATTAAGCTCCACAAAGATGTGAGCTGACTAATAATCCTATGGTTATATAATTCCATGTTGCTAAAACCATTTTAAGGACTCTGAACTAGATTTGTGCCTCATAATGTCCCACTTTCTTCCTTTTTCCTAACAGAGACCTTCAGCCATGATAAATATCAATTTGCCATTAAAAAAAAAAAAAGGGCTATGGTTTATCAGCTTACTATTCCTGAACAAGAAACTTTAGTTGTTAAATAGATAAAATTAGCATCCTTTACCATGCAAATAGCATAAATTATTATCCCAGGCACAGATCAAAGAGTTACTTAGTAAATCTTAAGTTTACCTACACCTAGTTAGAATTTATTTATTGTATAATTACTTTAGAACTATATAACAATGGCCAATAGTATATATGCAGAGAGAATGTTGGGGGGTTTTGTTTGTTCTAGGTTTGATTTTTAACAAATTACACCAATTCTTTCTTTGTTGACTTACCTCACAGTTTTTCTGATATGGATAAAATACACTGCCTAACCGCAGAAAAGTTCTCAGAACCTAATTAGTTTTCTATTAGTCAACCGTGAAAGATATTCATCAGAGTCCCCAGTTAATCAACAGTCAGTCAATAAGTACTTATTGAAACTCAGACACTATTTTAGACACTGAGGGTTCTACAGTGAAAAAGATATTCTGACTTTAAGAAATTTACATTCTACCTGAGGAAGACAGGCAATACATGCAAATTAAAAATCGTAAAATTAAAGAGAATGAATAGGGGAGCTGCTCAAGGGCAGCCACATTGAAAAGGTGACAACTGACTTGAGACCTGAATGATAAGAAGAAAGAAGTCATATGAAAAATCAGAGGCAGCAGTAAACACAAAGGCCCTGAGAAAGACATAAGTGTGGTCTGCGTAAGGTACAGGACAAAAGCTCATAAAGGGAGCACAGAAAACAAAGTGTGGAAAGAGATAATGTCAGAGTAGCCAGGTGCCAGATCATATAGAGCCATGGTTTGGTGCTTGGGTTTTATTCTGGTAGCAGTGGAGTGACATGATTTGATTTATGCTTTAGAAAGCTCATTCAGGTTTATCTGTAGAGGACAGACATGGGTGAGAGTTGGAGTAGAAGCAGGGAGACCAGTTAGGAGACTATTGTTGTGCTCTGTGTGAGAGGTGGTGGTTTGGACTAGGGTTATGAGAAAGACAGTGATCAATGTTTAGATTCAAGACATACAGAGAATAGAAATGATAGGATTTGCTGATAGAATAGACATACTGGATATAATATGGATACAAAACCGAGTGTTGTCCTTGGCAAGACATAGACCACCAGTGACTCTAAAGAGAACTACATCAGTAGAGTGATATAGACAAAAGCTTTATTGGACTGAACAGCAGAGAGAATGAGAGATGACAAGACAACAAGTACAGACAACTTGCACAGAAAGAGGGACCAAGAAATAAGGTAGTAGCTGGAGGGGAACACTGGGTAAAAGGAGGGTTCAGATGGATGATTTTTATGACCTTTTCACATGCCAATCATCATCATCTATTAGAGAAAGGAAAACTGGTGTTGTAGAAGATAAAGGAGATAAGCACAAGTTTAAGTCCTGGAAGAGTTACAAAGGGATGAGACCTAAAGCATCACTGGAGGGGATGGTCTTAGATAAGAACCCTCCCATTTCAACAGGAAAAAAGGCAGTCTGTCAAATGCAGGTAGATTGGAAGACTGGAAGTAGGAAGATGACTTACTTTTCTTCTAAATGCGTCTATTTTCTCAATTAAATATGAGATAATAGTGTTAGATGAGAGTCACCATGGAGGGGGTACTAGAAAATTGAAGAGAGAAGGGAAGGTGTGAAATACCTCAGAGGGTGGTAAGGTGAACTTTAGAAGAAAGTATTGAAGGATCGTCAGTCAATAGTGAATGCTAATTTGAGGTATGTGGTCATAAACATGAACTGAATCTACTTAATGTGGTTGTGCAATTTTCTCCAACAACTAACCATTTATTATACAGCTAATCATCTCACTCCCAAGTCATGGAAATTGCACTCATTTCCTCCATTATGTTATATTTAACTTATTAATACAGAAGGTACAACATTAAGCAGGAAATTAAAGCCAAACCATGAACAGCAAATCTGGTATTACTTGGCACTTTTTTGGACATTCTCCCAGAACTTACCCCATTCTCCCATAGGCCTTGCTGTACTTTGAATCAATTGCTATTGCTTTTTCACAATCCTTTATTGCATCTGTGTAGTGACCTAATTTACTCTGAGCAGCAGCCCTAAGAGAAAGAGAAGAGACTTTTGTTAGCACATTTTTCTTTTCCCAATTTGTAAATCACTCCCAGTAAACCTCTAAATCGAGCTAAAAAAAATCGATAATCAAACCAAAAATAACTCAGAAACTTCTGTTCAGAGAAAATATGTAGGTTGCCTTTCACTGTTTGCTTTGCTACAGAAAAGACAAATATGCAAATTATCTGCCTACTTACTGCCTTTCTAATTTGCCCAAACTGAAAACACTAGGACATTTGGGGTCACTTGTGAGGCACACAGAGTGAGTTATGCTGTGAATGGCTACACAGAGTGTTGTGCAGCTGTACTTTACCAACGGGGTTAAAGCACAAACAAAAATAATATTCCACTCACCTGAATATTCACATTTAAGACAGACTAAAATTTTTTTTAATCCTTTCACAGTTTTTCAGAAGTTCTCATAATCTTGTCCCTCAGTAAAAGGCTGAAAAAGCCAACTTTCGAAAAAGAATATTTGCACAGACCTACCAAACAAACCGGTTGCCATCGAGTCTATACTAACTCATAGCAACCCTATAGGACAGAGTAGAACTGCCACAAAGGGTTTCCAGGGAGTGCCTGGGGGATTCGAACTGCTGACCTTTTGATTAGCAGCCATAGCCCTTAACCACTACACCACCAGGGCCAACTTTGGAAAAAGAGTATTTGCATAGACCTAGATCCTTGTAACTATGACCTACCCTCAATAACGTTTCCAAGCAGGGAGAATTAACCCAGAGAAGAAACAGGAAAGGAAAACAGAAGCTCTAAGATGAATGCTAAGAAAAACAATGTGGAGAGCCAGCAGCCAAGAAACAGTAGCTACATGAGACACTGCAGTCAATGCTCTTGAATCAGGCATGAGGGCCAGAGCATGGTCACCACTTGCTGTGATCACTTCTTAGATTTCTCACAACTACAAAGCAGAATGCTATGCTGCAGTCCTTCTGCCTCAAATACTTAACCTCCAAGACAAACTAACAGCATGACAAGGATGACCAAAAAGAAGAGATACAGAATTATAACTTCCAAATAATTAGAGAAACAAATGAACTAAAGAAAATTCAATCGATCCAATAGAAAGTGAAAAGGGAGACGGCAGAGGGGAAAGAGAGGCAAGAAAAGGCATACTAAACAAACAGAGCAGAAAGCAATTCAAATATATTAGTGATCACAAAGTTGCCTGAACAAATCTGAGATTCTCAAACTGGATACATAATCACACATCAATTGGAAGTTAAAGGGATAGAAAAAGACAATCAGGCGAAGTGAAAACCAATCAAAAGAAAGCTGGTGTAGAAACACTAATATCATGCATAAGACAAAGAGCCTTATAGGGGATAGAGTCATTATTTAACATCCTTTTTAATTTTACTTTTTGAATACTTAACACTTAATGCGGCTCGGAAATCAAACCTATATTAAAAGTCTCACTCTCACCCTCTAGGGAATGGGTGGGAATGGGGTAAGAGGATAGGAATGGGAGTGAGACTTCAAAAAGGATGAAAAGCAAATCTTGAAACTGTTTGAACAAAACAGAAATATATGATCCTAAAGTATATCAAAAAGAAAAAAAATTCAAGTAACTTTTGAGCAGTGTTCTGAGTATACATACTTAGTGGGATGTATTATAAGGACAAAAAAGATTGAAAAAAACTGGTTTACTTGGGAGGTTTGTCGGTGGTATAGTATCTGTATTATAATACCAACCGAAGGATAATGAAGAATAGAACAAATGAGTAAATAAGTGGTGGTGCTGAGAAGTACTGTTTTCACCCTGGGAGAAGGGAGATACAAACATAAAAGGGGAGAAAGGTGAAGGAGAGCTCTGTGACAATGGAATGTAAATTAAAGGTATCTGTATAACTGATGACTTTTTAAAATATGTATTTCCTAGCTCTGTCCATTGATACAGCCGAGAAGCAATGGCACTCAGTAACAATGATCACACCTTGAGACTCGATGTTGGTTTCTAAATACCATTCTTCACTAAAATGAACCAGGGCTCCTTGGAGAAATGGCTGAGCCCAGGTCTGGGGCTGGGAAAATATGAGGTAAATCTGGAATATCTTGTTGTCTCAGAAAGCAACAAAGAGTTTAAGGCAAATGAAGTTATATAAAAGCACACGGGACCAATCTGAAGGGGTTCTTACTAGCCAAATAAAGGATAATCTAAGTGTCAAAAATAATTACGGTAACTGATTATAACACACTGAATTGTTGTTGTTACGTCCTTGGAGTTGGCCTCCAACTCATGGCAACAATATGCACAAAAGAACAAAATGCTGCCTGGTCCTAAGCCATTCCCATGATCAGCTGCAGATCAGACAGTTGCGATCCACAGGGTTTTCACTGTGTGATTTCTGGAAGCAGATCACCAGGCCTTTCTTCCTAGTCTGTCTTAGTCTGGAAACTCCACTAAAACCTGTTCAGCATCACAGCAACACACAAGTCTCCACCAACAGACAGGTGGTAGCTGCACATGAGGTGCACTGGCCAGGAATCGAACCCCCGTCTCCCACATGGAAGGCAAGAATTCTACCACCAATGTCTTGTGAATTTAAAAAATTCATGAGTCAATCTTCTTGTTGTGTGATATTGAGTTGATTCTGACCCATAGTAACCATAAATGACAGACTAGAACTTCCTCATAAGGTTTCCTAGGCTATAAATGTTTACGGGAGCAAATCGCCATATCTTTTTTCCTATGGAGCTGCTGGTGGGTTTGAACCACTGGTTAGCAGCCAAGCGCTTAACTGTTGCACCATCAGGGAAGGGAGGAAAGCTGTTCATTACAGAAATATCTGAGGAAATTATACATAATAAAATTAGAAAGTCACCATTTTGCAACCCTCGATGTATTAATGATTCAGGGACGGATCATGAATGGATGATAAAACCATTGGGTCAAAGACTGCTGGAGAACAGGATATTCACATGGTCTGACCCCATAAATTATTTATTTATTAACTATAAAAGGAATAATAGATATCAAATTTAGAATCACCAATAATGGAACAGTTTGAAGTTACGTCCTTCCTAATATGATGTAATAAATGGTTTACATAATCATTTATGTAGGATTTGTACCAAAAACATTTAACCTAAATTTAATCATGAGAAGGCAATCACACAAATCCAGAATATGACAATTGGCCTGAACTCTTCAAAAAACTGTCACGAAAACAAGAGAAAAAAAAGACATACTTTCTGGATTAAATTAAAGTGACATAACAAAATGCAATGTATGAACCTTGATTGAATTCTAGATCAAAAATATAGCTATAAAAATATTCAGATACTGAAGAAATTTCAATATTAATAGTAATTATCTTAAGTATGAATGGTATGATAATTACATGGAGTATATCCTTATTTTTAGGAGATAAAGCTGAAGAATTTAGGATCAGCAAGAAAAAGTATACATATGTATATATGCATGTATATGTAGTATATGTATACATATATATGCATACGTACATTCACAGCCCCCCCAAGAAAGAAAGAGACAAAGAGAGAGAAAGAAAATGTGACAAAATATTAGAAACTGATGACTCTAGATTAAGTGCATATGGACATTCATTGTACTACTCTTCCAGTAAGTTTGAACAGGTTTTAGATTTAAATTTGTTTTTTAAAAAAAAATCTACCTACTCAAAAAAAAGTAGCACACTACCATATAAACAGATTCACCACTGGACGTGTTCAGCTAGAGACAATTTTCCCTCCTAAAATTCACTGAATCGATTCAACACAAACTCTTGCTGAACATCCATAATATGCTGGACCATTAATTTGAAACCAACATTCAGACAGAAAGAGGATATATCCCTGCCCTTTCACAGTCTACTAGGGACACAAACGTGTGAATAAAGAAACAGTATGATAAGTGCAAGAACGGAAGTATCAAGGTAAGAGGCAACACAGAGAAAGGTATGGTTAACCCAATCAGAGCTGTCCAATAGAACTTTCTGTGATGGCAAAGTTCTATACCTACACTACCCAATGTGGTAGCCACTAGTTACATATGACTATTGAGCACTTGATAGATGGCTAGTGTGACTAAGGAAGTGAATTTTTTTATTTCATTACATTTTTTTATTGCGCTTTAGGTGAAGGTTTACAGGTAAATTAGTTTCTCATTAAATAATTAATACATATATCGTTTTGTGACATTGGTTGCCAACCCTGCAACATGTCAACACTCTCCCCTTCTTGACCTTGCCCCTGAGCTTTCCATTCGTCCAGCTTTCCTGTCCCCTCCTGCCTTCTTGTCCTTGCCCCTGGGCTGGTGTGCACATTTAGTCTCATATAAATGGTTGAGCTACGTGTATCATTGTTTGTTTTATAGGCCTATCTAATCTTTGGCGTAAGGGTGAACCTCAGGAGTGACTTCAGTATTGACTTAAATGGATGTCTGGGAGCCATACTCTTGGGGTTTCTCCAGTGTCCGCCAGACCAGTAAGTCTGCTCTTTTTTTGTAAGTTAGAATTTTGTTCTACATTTTTCTCCTGCTCTGTCTGGGACCCTATATTTTGATCCCTGTCAGAGTAGTCAGTGGTGACAGCCAGGCACCATCTAGTTGTACTGGACTCAGTCTGGTGGAGGCTGTGGTAGTTGTGATCCATTAGTCTTTCGGACTAATCTTTCCCTTGTGTCTTTGGTTTTCTTCATTCTCCCTTGCTCCAGACTGGGTGGGACCAGTAGACATATCTTAGATGGCCGCTCACAAGCTTTTAAGACCCCAGATGCTACTCACCAAAGTAGAACATACAACATTTTCTTTACAAACTATGTTATGCCAATTGAGCTAGATGTCCCCTGAGATCATAGTCCCTCGCCCTCAGCCCAGTAACTCAGTCCCTATGGGAGTTTGGATATGTCCATGAAGCTTCTCTGACTTTGCCTTGGTCAAGCTGTGCTGGTTTCCCCAGTATTGTGTACTGTCTTACCCTTCATCAAAGTTACCACTTATGTATTGTCTAGT